TTTTTATTGAATCAAAATTATTATGTTTGATTCAAAGATATTGTTTTCTCACTGTAAGAAGAAAAAATTGCATTTTTTGAAAATAGTAAAAAAAAGACGAATATTTCAGTATAAAAATTAAAAGAAAATTTAAATTCTAAGAACAGGGGGAATCGAATTTACGTAATAAAATATTCATTTGTGAGAGTTTCATTCTCTTTTTCTCTCGTAAGTTCTTTTAGAATTTTTCTTTTTTTTCGCCTTTTTTTCATCGTCATTGTTACTCGATCGCGAAAGAATCTATAAATTTTGATAGCTACTAAATAAAATATTGCGAATGGGTCAAGAGGTGTGGTTCGGGTGGCGAGGTCGAGGGTCGAGTTTAGGATCACCTGCAGCCAGGACTAGTATATACGGGAATCCAGTTGTTCTCGAGAGTCAAGCGACTCCCTCGGGAGCTTGGATCGTTAATCGCCCGAACGATTCGCTTTCCTGTCACGTACCGGGATGGCCCGTGGAATCAGCGTAAAAATACAAATTTAATATCACCGCCCCGAGATCCTTGTCCAGCTGCACTCTCGCACTCAAATACCATAAGTAGAATACTCGTTCAAGCCTTATTCTTTCTCTTTCCATCGCGAAATATATCCGCCGCGTAATTGGATTCATTTCGAATCACATTCTCGTCAAAAGGGACTAATTGATCGTGAAAGAAAACAAAAATTTCCAAAAAAAGTTTTGTTTGGCAAAATTTTGTTCTCTTATAATAATAGAAAAAAATGTAAAGAAAAAAATTCTTTTATGAAAATCATATAACAAATTGAGACAAAAAACGAATCAAAACGTTGCTTCGCAACAATTGTTGAGAAGCAACGTTTTGATTTGTTTTTTCTTTCAATTTAACAGTAAAACGTAAGGTGTTAAAATAACATCAAAATGGATTAAAATAATCTGCAACAGTTTAAACCCTCTAGGATTAAATTAACACCAGAAAGAATTAAAATAATCTATTTTGGTGTTATTTTTAACTATGAATTAAATTTTACTTTAAATAAAACACCAAAGTCAACGATTTGTAAAAATTCAACGAATTTAGATTCTCCAGGGAGAATAGTAAGTTAGTTAGTTAGTTACTAACTTACTAACTAACTTAGTAACATAATTACTAAATTCAAATTTTCTTCAAAAATTTAAAAAAATTCTCGTCGAAATTTCAATTCACTTTATAAATAATAAAATTCTTCTCTGATATTCAATTGTTTTACAAAATTTTAATCAAATTCTTGTCAAAATTTCAATTATTTTCAAAAGTTTTCTAAAATTCAATGATTTTCAATATCTACTATTTCAATAAAATTTTCCAAAAGAATTCCATTATTAACAAAAATTTCAATAAAATTCTACGCAAACATTCAATTATTTTCATAAATAATAAAAATTTCACATGAATTAAAATATTTACAAATTTTTTATTTTTCTTCAAAATAATTCAATTATTTTTAATACAATTTTAATCGAATTCCTTGAAAAGTGTAACTATTTTAAATTCTATATCAAATTATGTTTAAAAATTTACAAAAATTCTCGACAAAATTTCAATTCTGGTTATAAATAATAAAATCTTTCTCCAAAATTCAATTATTTTCAAAAACTTTCCTCAATTCACTGATTTTTAATATCTACTACTTTAATAAAAATTCTTAAAAGAATTAAATTAGTTAAAAAAATTTTAAATAAAATTCTACGCAAACAATTAATTATTTTCATAAATAATACAAATTTCGCAGGAACTGAATTATTTACAAATTATTTTCATATATTATTCAATTATTTTCATAAATAATAAAACTCAATGCTGAATTTCAATTATTTTTAATACAATTTTAATGAAATTCGTGAAAAAAAGTTATTACTCTTATAAATTTTATTAAAATTAATCAATGAAATTTAATTATTTTAATAACCTTTGTTACAGTTTATTTATTAGAATTTAAGAATTATTTTCAAAAAATTTTTAATTAAATTTCTTTAAAGAATAAAATTATTTTCAAAAATTTTAATGTAACAATTCAATTGTTTTCAAAATAATTTTAATAAAATTCTTCGCAAAAATCCAATTATGTTTAAAAATTTGCAAAAATTCTCTTCAAAATTTCAATTATCTTTATAAATAATAAAATTTTTCTCCGAAATTCAATTATTTTCGAAATATTTGATGAAATTCTTGGCAGAATTTCAATTATTTTTAATACAATTTTCATCAAAGTTCTCGAAAAATGCAATTATTCTTAAAAATTGTATTAAAAGTTGTCAAGAGAATTAAATTATTTAAAAATTTGTGGATAAAATTGTTTAATTAAATTATTTCCAATATTCAATTTGAATTGAAATCCTCAAAAGAATTTAATTATGTTTATAAATTTATAAATTACAAAATTCTTTGCAGGAAACGTCATTCTTGCTTTTGAGTTAGAAAATTTTACAATAAAAAAAATAAGAAAATAAGAAAATTAATAAATAGTTTCTTTTTATGAGAATTTAATTTTAAGAAACATGAAATTAATAAATTATTTATTTTTGTATTTAAATAATTGAATTCTCGTAGAATTTACTAATAAAAATGGTTTTAAAAATGAATTTCAGTTAAAATTTTAGATTATAATTAAATACTAAAAACATTATAACGTGGATTTTTAGAAATAATTAAATTTTGAAAAAGTTTCAAATTGAAATCAATGAAATTCTTAATTTTTCATATTTTTGACAAATAATTCTGTAGAATTAATTCCTTTTAAAAGTTTAATAGGATTTTTATTGAAATTATTTCTATTTTTATTTTCCAATATACATTTAATTGCAAAAATTTCCGAATAATTGAAATTTTCTAAAATTGAATTGTAAACGAATGAATTTAAAAATTCTCAAAGAACTTTTTTTAAAAATTATTAAAAATAATAGATTTATAGAAGAATTTTAGTTAAAAACACTAGAAAAAAATTTAATTTTAGAGAAGTTACAAATTATTGCAGAAATTCAATTATTTTCAAGAGTAATAAAATTCATCACAGAATTTCAATTATTTTTCATGCAATTTTAATTGAATTCTTTGAAAAAATAATTATTTTCATGCAAGTTTTAATAAAATTCGACAAAAGAATTCAATTATTTAAAAATTTGTTACTAAAATTCTTTATGAGAATTGAATTTTGAAAAACATTCAATTATTCAATAAATTATTTACTTTTGCATTTAAATAATTAAATTCTTGTAGAATTTTCTAATAAAAATTGATTTTCATTTCATAAAAATGAATTTCAGTTAAAATTTTAGATTATAATTGAATATTAAAAGCAATATAGCGTGAATTTTTAGAAATAATTGAATTTTGAAATTAATTTTTTTGAAAAAGTTTAATTGAATTTTTTTATATTATTTGAAGGTTTTATTTTCTAATATGCATTTAATTAAAGAATTTAGGAATAATTGAAATTTCGTGAAATTGAATATTGTAAACAATCGGATTTGAAAATTGCCAAAGAACTTTTTCGAAAATTATTCAAAATAATTGATATAAAGTAAGATTGTAGTTAAAAATTTTTGAAATAATAATTGAATTGAAGTAATGAAAATAATTTTGAAGAAGTATAATATTCTTATAATATAAAATAATGATTTTATTACTTGGTCATCTTTAATTATTATAAAATATGAAGAAATCGATAACTCCGAGTCGAAGACTAGGAGTTATTGATATCTTCATGTTTTATAGTTATAAAAAAATTTAATGAACTAAAATTTCATTCATTGTAAAAAATAACATTAATTGATTATTTTAATCTTCTTTGGTGTTAATTTAATCTCCAACACTTTTTAATACCTCACCATTTACTGTATTGTTATTTTTAGAAATTTCCTCAAATTGATAATTTACGAGTGAAAAATTATTCTGAAGAAAATGAATTGAAACAAAAATAATTAAATGTCGCTTTGTTGTTATAAATAAAAAATAGATTTGTTTAAATCAGCAACTAAGAAGAACGAGAGGAGAAGCGGCCCCCCACCATGTGGACTTCTTCTCCCCTCCCCTTTCCGTTCAACTCTACCCGTCCCACTGTCTATACTCTCACAGTCCTGGTGAATATTATACCTACTTTAAATCCCTACTTTTTAAGTATATCAATAACCCTCTCAATTCTTTTGATCCCTTTCTCAAATTGATCCCCCCTCCCCATTATTTGAGTAAAATCAGAAGAAAAACTGATGAATAATCTCCTAAAATAAAATGATACCATAAAAGAAGAGCTGTTGATTAGATCAAGTTGTGCGAAATCGGGATAGATACGGAAGTGTAGTATGATATCGAATATTGTATAATCCAGTGGCTCCGATGTAAGACGATGATATAGAGAAGGAGAGAGGGAGAGAGAAAGAGAGAGAGAGAGAGAGAGAGAGAGAGAGTGAACTCTGATAGCACAAGGGCAGGGAAAAGAGAAAAAGGAGATCGAAATAGGAAAGGGGGATTGAGAGAGAGAGAGAGAGTAGATTTAGGCTGTTTGCACCAGTGGAGATGCGGGGAACGAGCCTCCGGTAATGAAAAGCGCGATCGGAATACCAAGTAGCAACCTCTAACCTAACCCATATACAAGGTGGTAGTGTGTATAACGGATAAAAGGTACGACCCCGCACCGAAGAAAACATCTCAGAAGGCCCAGCAATCACGTACCAAACTACTAAAACTTGGACCATTGCCATCCAAGAATCGAGACAGATATATCGATTCTTCATATCTTCCTCTCTGCTAATAGATTTCTTTTTTCGACACAAAAAATTTATTAATCATTTTTCGAAATAGGGAAATATTTTTGATGATAAAATAAAAATTTAGGGTGTAGTCACTTGAAATCTGAATTAGTTAAATAAGTAACTAAGTGTCAGTGTAAAATAGTACCATATATTTTGAGTTATATTTAATTTTTTAGTTCTGTAATTTTCTGAATGGAATTTTTCCTTCTGTGTTTCAGAATGGAAAGCTGTTGAATGAGACGTTGAAGGAGGACTCGAGCGACGCCGGATCAAAGTTTGATGACACGACAGTGATTTGCCTAACGCAGGAGGGTGGCTCACTGTCGGACAGTGGAATATCAGACAGTGGCAGCGAGCAGGAGTTGAGTGAACGTGAACGTCGTCTGGCGGCACTTCGGCGATTGACGCGTTCATTGGAGAGCCAATTGGCACCAGGAAGCGACGCCTTGGCGGAACTTTGGAAGAGAGTCGAGGATGCCGAGGCGGAACTAAGAACGCTGCAGAAACAATGTCGCGAACTCATTGTCCGAACTGCCGCCAGCGTTGAATCACGTTCGACAAATCGAGCATCCAGTCCCATCAATTTTCCCATTTCAATGTGAGTTTTATTTTCAATTTTCGATAATAGAACATTCATATTTTATTTTTATAAAAATTAAAGACGACCGAGTGGGAAAATTATAAATTAATAATAATTATATTAATTATAATTATTATATTAATAATAATTATTATATTAATAATAATTATTATACTAATTATAATTATGATCTACAAGTTTCGAACGTTGAAATGAATATTTTCAACTACAGTCATCTCTCGATAATAATTAAACTTTCGATAAGTTGAACTTCTTAAATAATTGAAGTTCCTTTTGTTTTCCCAGAAAAAATTTTAATACTAAAATCGTTCGATTCATGAAACATTTGATAATTTGAATTTTTTAAGTCCCTTGAGATTCATTTTATAGAGAGTAGACTGTATATCAAAATTTTAAATACACTACTAAATTTTAAATAGTATTTTAAATTATTTTGTTTAGTATTTTTTAAATACTACTTTTGATAAATTAAATCTCAATTGCAAAAATTGATGTAAAAAACGAGAAATAGAAATTTTATTAAATTTTCTTGTTTGTTGAAAAAAAATGAAAAAAAAAATTCAGGGTCGTTTTATTGGAGACAAATTTTCACAACAATTGTCAAATTATTTTGTACGGTATTAAAGAATTTGCATAACGTGAAAATGAGAAAGTTAAGAATGACGGCGTCTATTTTAAGTGTGAAGAAAAGAAGGGGAGTCGTCGCAGTTCATAATGCTTGCCCCTATAATGCGCCTTCTCATTTGAATTTATAAGAACTTAACTGTGAATGAGCAAAATTCTCCCGTGAATTGTATTAGTCAAAAATTAACAATAATTTCTGAAAATATTTTCCAAGTAGAAAAGAAAATTTTGGTATTTCCTTTTGAAAATATGACAAATCGTAAAAAATAAAGCTCTGAGAAAAGAAATCGACAAAAAGTACGAAAAAAGAAACTTTGAGAATTGGAATCTGTTTATTTTTGATTTTTAATAAAAAATTAAAAGTAAAAGAAATTTTATTTATTTATATAATAATTAAATGATTTTCATTTAAATAAAACAAACATTTGCTATAATGAAATAATTTTTACTTAAATCAAACAAATATTTACTTGAATCGAAAAATTTGTAATTAAATCAAACAAATATTTATTTGAATCAAATAATTTTTATTTCAGTCAAACAAATATTTGCTTTAATGAAATAATTTTTATTTAAATCAAACAAATATTTACTTGAATCAAATAATTTCTGTTTCAATCAAACAAATATTTTCTTGAATCAAATAATTTTTAATTACGTCAAACAAATATTTATTTGAATCAAATATTTTTTATTCAAATCAAACAAATATTTTGTTTTAATTTAATCAAATAATTTTTAATTAAATCAAGCAAATATTTACTTGAATAGAATTATTTTTATTTAAATCAAACAAATATTTATTTGAATCAAATAATTTTTCTTTCAATCAAACAAATATTTTCTTGAATTAAATTATTTGATTCAAGTAAATATTTGTTTGATTTAAATAAAAATTATTTGATTCATGTAAATAATTATTTGATTCAAGCAAATACTTGTTTGATTGAAAGAAAAATAATTTGATTCACTCAATTATTTACTTCAAACAAATAATTAAAAAAAACGTATTCAATTAAATATTTGTTTAAATGAAATAAAAATTATGTGTTTGAAATAAATATTTGCTTGGTTTAAATAAAAATTATTTGTTTTATGTAAATATTTGCTTAATTGAAAGAAAAATTATTTTACTCAATTAAATGTTTAAATGATTAAATTAAAAATTATTTGATCCAAGTACATAATTGTTTCATTAAAATAAAAATTATTTGCTTCAACTAAATAATTGTTTGATTGGAATAAAAATTATTTTATTCAACTACATTTTTTTATTAAAATAAAAACATTTTTTTTCAAGTAAGTATTAGCTTGATTTAAATAGGAATTATTTGATTGAAGCAAATATTTGTTTGATTGAAAGAAAAATTATTTGTTTCAAGTAAATAATTGTTAGAATGAAATAAAAAATAATTCACTCAAGTATATAATTGTTCGATTAAAATAAACATTATTTAATTAAAATAAGAATTATTTGATTTCAGTATTTAATTAAAATAAACATTATTTGTTTCCAGTAAACATTAAAAATATTGATGAACAATATTTAAATATTTTAAACTTTTTCTAATCAAATGATCGAAATTTAATTATTTCTCGCTTAAATTAAATTTCTATTGCAATAATTTTGCGTCATTAATATTTAAACAATAAGAATACAATGAATATTTAAATATTCCTTACTTGTTAATTAAAAGTAAAAATATTATGAATTTAAAATTTTAAGACAACTTTTCTGTTTATGTATTAAAAAGAAGAGAACCACTGCAGTGTGTGGGGGTCAACTGTTAAAATGAATTATAGCTTTTCATATAAGCATCCTTGCCATCTTTTCTCACCCTCAAATTTCCAGCGCACAATATGTTCGAAGAATTCTGAATTTTGGGGAATTGCTGGAGGAATTATTTCCTTCTTAATTTGACCTGAATTGACCCAAAAAGTGGTGATTTTGATTTAAAATTATAAATTGTTGTCATTTTTCTCTATCATTTCATTTCTATGAAATGATTTATATTTCTCGTGTAATGAACTAATAATTTCTCATATTTACTTATATATCTGCTGAAGAACTAATTTATATTTCTCATAATAGTATTCGGGAAAAAAATGAAGTGAATAATTTAGTTATTTTTTAATAGACTACTTGCTACAGTTACTTTCAATGTAAATTTAATTTATATTCTTTTTAAAGTTAATTTAATAATTAATTTACTAAAAGAAAAGAGGAAACTTACTACAATTTCGATCTATGTCCAATTTTCTTTTTATCTTATTTTTACAATTAGTATTCGTGAGTGTTCGTAATAATACTCACGAATATTAATTGTTAAAATACTAAATGTAAATAAATACTAAAAATACTAATTGTAAAAATAAGGTTAATTAAAACAGACGTTAATTGAAATTTAATTGAAATGAAAGGTAATTTAAAGGTAATTTAAAGGCGTGGTTAAAAGGGACCGATTTGATATGTAAGGTGCTTGACTAGAAAAGCAGAGCGCAAGCGCGGGAGTGGGAGTGGGCAATGAGTGAGAGAGAGACGTTCCCGTCTTTCTCACTTCCACTCATAGTCGCAGGTACTGGAGTGGGGACAGCTGCGCCTGCGCTCCACGTCTTAACCGAGTTAACGAGTTTTTTTTTCCCTCTACATCAATGAAACGAAACTTTTCATTTGAGGCTTCAATTATTTTCAGCTGTGCCATTATCACTGGCCACCTCATTTAACTTTGTTTCTGGGGATGTTTTTCCTTTTTTTTTATAGTTACGTTTAATCACTGACTTCTTGCGGCGCACTGGTAATAGGTTTAGTTCGGTTGGGTGCGAAACGTCTCCTTCTATATTGCGTCGTAAAAAAAAGTTGTAAAAAACTCACGCCCGCATTCACGTCCATCAATTCGTTACGCTCTTCCCTCTCGTGTTTGCTTGTATTTTTGACTTATGCAAACAATTCGCGTATCGAATTTTAAATTTGGGGTAAAATTATAGAAATTATTACAAATTTAAAAAAAAATATTATTACAACTTATTATAGAAACTAGCTACAATTCGCACCTGGCTGACTTCTCTCTCACTTTTTTTTAAAATAAAATTATCAATTTTAAAAATAATGGAACGTAAAAATTTTTAATTCAAATTCTTTTTTTTTTGAAAATAAAATATGAATTGGAATATATAGTTTTAATATTATTATAATTTTGAAGAAGTTACAAATGATTGCAGAAATTCAATTATTTTCAAAAACAATAAAATTCTTATCAAAAAATTTAATTATGTTCAAAATATACAAAAAAATCTCGACAAAATCCCAATTATTATCTTTATAAATAAAAAAATTCTTCAAAATTTAATTATTTTCAAAACTTTTAATAAAATTCTTGTCAAAATTTCAATAATTTTCCTCATTTCAATAAATTTCAATATCTACTATTTTAGTAAAATTACCTAAAAGAATTCAATTATTTAAAAACAATTTTAAGAAAATTGTACGCAAACATTTTATTATTTTTGTAAATAATAAAAATTTCACAGGAATTCAATTATTTAAAAAAAAATTCAAAGCAAGAATTCAATTATTTTCAGAAATAATAAATTCTTTTTAGAAATTCAATTATTTTCAAAAAATTTTCTTAATTCAATAAATTTTTATTTGAATTTTTCGAAAAATGCAATTATTCTTAAAATTTTATTAAAATTTGTCGAAACAATTAAATTATTTACAATTTTTTTTGATAAAATTATTCGCAGTAATTAAATTATTTTTATAAACATTAAAAATCTTTTCAGAAATAATAAAACTTATCTCAGAATTTCAATTATTTTTAATACAATAATTGAATTTCTTGGAAAATTCAATTATTCTTAAAAATTTCTTTAAAATTCGTCGAATCAATTTAATTATTTAAATTTTTTTTATAAAATTCTTCACAATAATTTACTTATTTTCATAAATATTAAATTTCTTTTGAGAGAATCAATTATTTTCATAAATAATAAAATTTTTTTAAGGAATTTAATTATTTTCATAAATAATAACAATTCCACAGTAATTCAAATATTTACAAATTTTTTCGCGATAATTCAATTATTTTCGTAAATAATAAAATCTTTTATAGGGATTCAATTATTTTTAACCAAAATAAAATTATTTTTATAGGAATTCAAATATTTTTAAAAATTTTTCTCAATTCAAGTCAATTTTATTTTAATTTTTCAAAAAATGTAATTATTCTGAAAATTTTATTAAAATTTGTCGAAACAATTCAATTATTTAAAAATTTTTTATAACCTTCTTTGCAATAATTTAATTATTTTCATAAATATTAAAATTCTTTTCAGATATTCAATTATTTTCATAAATAATAAATTTCTTTTTAGGAATTCAATTATTTTCAGAAATAATGAAATTCATGGCAGAATCTCAATTATTTTTAATACAATTTTAATCGAATTCCTTGCAAAATGTAACTATTCTAAAAAAATTTTATTAAAATTCGTCAAAAGAATTTAATTATTTAAAAATTTGTTAATAAAATTCTTTATAACAATTAAATTTTAAAGACTATTCAATTATTCAATATATGTTATTTACTTTTGTATAAAAATAATTGAATTCTCGTAGAATTTTCTAATAAAAATTTCTTCATATTTCATAACAATATTTTATAAATTGTTTAATTTCAAAAAGGTTTAAATTTGAAATTTTTGAAAATCTTAATTCCAATGGAATAATAATATTAATTAATTAATTTTTTAAAAATTTTTTCCTTCATTTTCGATTAAATTTTCTAATTGACAAATATAATTTATAAACATTTTTTTTGTTTATTTTTAAAAAACTTTGAATTTCATTAAAACAATTCAAATTAAAAAATAGAATTGATGCAAATTATTTCGTTATGAAAATTGAGAATTTTCTACAAAAATGTTAAGAAACGGGAATATCTAATGTTTTTCTTCTCAAAAGAAAAAAATGAGTTTGTAAACAATATTGTTATTGAGAAATAAAAATTATTTTCCTACTTTTTAATAAAAATTTGTCAACAATTAACAATTTTCTAGTATTTTTTTACAAATAAAAAGAAGAATAATTTACATAACAATTTAGATTAGTCAAACAAAATTTGTTATAGAAAAAAGCATATAACAAACAGAATGGGTATATTTTTTATTTGTTAATCATAATTTTTAAAAAATTTTTATTTTTATTATTCTTTTAATGATAGAAAATGTAAATTTTCTGTTCCAGAAAGCGGAAGAAGGTGGCGAGTCTTGTGGATTCGGAGAACGAATGGAATCCAAAACAAAAGAAGAAGGGTTGTGTCACGAATTCTGGCGATCCAGAAAGTGAACCTAGTGAACCTAATAGTTGGATTTGGCGAATTTTGAAAGCAGCTTTACCATTTCAGCTGGCGCTTGTCGCTTTATTTTGTGCAGCTTGCCTTTTGGAGCCACATTGCTGTGAAGCGGCCAACAGCCTTAATTTGTCGTTAACGCCGCAATTGCGTTACGTTCGCGGACCGCCTCCAGTCTAAACTGCAAAGCAGAGACAAAAAAAAACTTACAGAATAAAAAAAGTCAACGTTGGCTTTTTTTTCGAAAAAAAAAATAACAAATGAGACTGAAAATCCACACTGATTTTTTTTTTTTGCTTTTTTTTCGACGTCACGTTTAGAGGAGAAAAATAGGCTCAAAGAGAATTTTGGCCTAAATCTTTCGATAATCAAAAAGATTTCGAATTAGAAAAAAAGTAGTCAATACTACTAGTACTAATAGTCAATCAAACTACACAGTGTACTATTAGCAATAGTATACGAAGTTTACTATTTTAAAAATAGTAAACGAATCACGCTTTTTTTGGGTGTATAAAAATACACGCAAAAATTCGAGAAAAATCTCAAACGTGATGTCACTAGGTGGATGAAAAAAAAAGTTGACGATCGATTCGTAAAGTTTGAGTGCCTTTTTAAAGTCACTATATTGGCGCAAAAAAAAACGGAAATATTTACAAACCGTTGGCGCCAAAATTATTCTCGATTCAGAATAGTGAATCGAGAATGCAACTTTAATCTGTACTTTCTTGATCGAGAGAAAATATAGTGAAGAGAGTGAGGTACGTATAGTAGATTAGAAAAATTTTCGAAGAGTTTAAAAATACGTTTTCAATCATTTACCCGTAAAGTATAGATAATAAGATTATCCCAACGCTTTTGAGGTAGATAGAAATTAGAAGAGGATTAAAGAATAAAAAAAAAACGATATTGGCACAATATTGTAATGCAAAAATATTTTTTTTTATCTGAAACTTTGCATTACAAGCAATATATTTTTCTCACGCTTTTAAAGCGGGGAAAAAATTCTAATATTTCCGAATTTTTACACTCAAGTGCCTCATTAAATTTTGAAAGTAAAAAAGCAAAAATCGAATGATCTAAGTCATTTTAAAAAAAATTTGTGTACACAGAAAAAAATTTGGTTGATTCAAAGAAACACTGGCTTGTCGATTATCAAATTAAATTTTTATTCGTTTCAAATAATTTTCAGAGCCAATCAAATATTTATTTTCTTCGTTTAAAATTTATAATAAAAATTATTTGTTTCATGTAAATATTTGCTTGATTGAAATAAAAATTATTTAACTCAAGTAAATAATTGTTTGAGTGAAGTAAACATTATTTGATTCAAGCAAATATTTATTTGATTAAAAGAAAAATGATTTGATTCAAGTAAATAATTGTTTGATTCAAGTAAAAATTATTTGTTTCAAATGAATATTTACTTGCTTCAAATAAAAATTATTTGTCTCAAGTAAATATTTGCATAATTGAAATAAAAATTATTTTACTCCAGTAAAAGATTTAAATAAAAATTAAATGACTCAACTAAGTATTAATATTCGATAATAGACAAGTAATTGTCTATTTGAATTAAATAAATTTTTTTCATGTGTATTTAGTTGGAAATATTTAAAAAAAGTTTATTTGAAACTAAAATTTTTAAATGCCTTCACAAAATATCAAAAGCAACTTCCAAAATCTTTTTATCAATAAAAAAATAGACTCTTTCTTAATAAACAAATTTCCAACTATAATAATTTTTTATCAAAAACTACTTAATATTTTTTTATACATCAATTTTGTAAGAGGAAGGAATCTAAAGTTTTTTTTTTAAATAAAAAGAACATTCAACATTTTATAAGAAAAAGGAACAAAATATCCAATTTTTCAAAAGAAAAAAAATTTTTTTTTTTTTGAATACGAAAAGGTATTTTTTTGAAAAAATAAAAAAAAAAAGAATCCACTCTATGAGTGATGAAAATAAAAGTGCCAATATTGGTGAATTGCTTTTTAGTGAAAGAAAATAAAAGGAAAAAAAAAGTTGAAGAGTGAATTAAAATTAGTTTCGATTGTAAATATGTAAAAAAATAATTATAACGATAATCAAAGAGCGGATTAATAATAATAATTTGCTATAAGTCTCTACCTGCGAAGATGTACTATTTTTTCAGCGTTTGTTTCAAGTTTGCATGCAACTTTTTGATATGAATAACACATCTCTCATAATAATAACTTTTTTAAACTAGATGTTTTTTTTCTAAACTATAGAATCTATAATAATCTCGTATCAATATCCACGTGTGTCACACGCTTTCTCCGCTTTTCTGCTTCCCAGATTTTTTAACATTAATGTCTTCTCGTCCAAAAAATTCCTATTTTTTTTTCTTAAAAAATTAATTATTCAAATAATTATTTAAATAATTGTTTAAATAATTATTTATTCAATTAATAATTAATTAACTATTTATTATGAAAATTATTAATTTTTATTTTTTATTTTATCCATTAATTAACATTATTTAATATTATTTCTCCAAAGCATTTGAATTTTTGCAAAAACTATTTGCAAAAATATTGATGTTCCTAAAGTTTTGAACGTTCAAATGACGGACAGTTTTTTTTACTCTTTTTTATTTTGCATTTTATGAAAAAAATTATTTGTTACATTAAAAGGATTAATTTTCACTAAAAGGATTAATTTAGTATATTTTTAATTTCCATTTTTCAATTATTTTTCACTCCAATAGAATAATTTTTGAAAATTTTTAAATAGAAAGAAAAATTTTGTTTATTCGAATATTCAAAACTTTAGGGAAATCAATAATGCTTTTAATTCAAGTCCTTTGGGGGATAATATTAATTAATATTTATTTGAAATTAATCAATCGTTAATTAATTATTCTTCAATTATTTATATTAATTAAAAATTATTAATATTCGATGAATAATTAATCAAAAATGTTAATTTTGATTAAAAATGGTTAATTTTGATTAAAAATTTTTAATTTTGATTAAAGATGGTTAATTTCGATTAAAAATGAAGAATAACAATTATTAATAATTATATTTTTCCGAATTTTATATTTCCGAAAATCAATTTTTCCATAGAGATGAATATTTTTTTTATCATAAAACGTTTATTGATATTGATAACCATGTGAAAAGAAAGTGATGCTAATTTTTATTATCGCGCAGGTAGAAAAGAGAAAAAATAATCAAAAAAATGAAGAAATATTTTTTAAATAAAAAAAATGGTCCAGAGATAGAAATATTTAAAACAAAGGACAAATCACAACGAAAGATAGAAAAAAGGGAAGAAGAATTAAAAACTAGTCATATCAGAAAGAGAACACAGTAGTGCTCCATTTCTCTAAATAGAAATAAAATCCTCTTTTTATTTCCAACGCTCAGCGAAGTTACATATTTTCCTTGATTATAATTGTTTTTCTCGTGTTATATTTTTTTTTCCTATTAAATAAATATACATTTACCATGTAAGTGTGCACTTTGTACTATATTTAAAAAAAAACTGTTAATATTTAAGGCACGATGATTAGCAAAATATTTGTTTTCAAAAGCGTTTAATTTTCAACATTGAACGCTTTTTTTTATAAGTCTGAATTTTTCTTTTTCTCTTTATATATTTAATATAAGTTGATCATTAATGCCGCAAAACTCCATTGTGTATCTTTTTTTTTTTTTTGTTCTTTCTTGTTATATAAAGAATTTATTGATAAGATTTTTTTTCATTAAGACTTATATTTACAAATATTTTTATTTATGTTTTATTATAATATATACACAATGGAGACTTTTTTTTTTATTTATACGTAATTACAGAAAAATATAGTGCGAAGAGCCAATCATGCATGTTATGTTGTAAAGTTATATATTGTTTTCTATAATATTATACATATATATATTATATATTTTTTTTATAAAAAATAAGTTGCAATTTCGGAGTTTGGTTCTTAAGAGTTTTTTTTTTCTATGCACCAACTCGAAATCAACGTAATAGTATATTATAGCTTTTGGCTCTCCTGTGGGACCTAAAAATTCACAGTTTATTGAAGAAAAGCAAAGTTTATATATATTTATAGAAGAAGCATTGAGAAAAAATTTCTTGAGATTATTTTTCAATGACTGGAGATGCACAAAACAAAAATCTTTCGAGTGGAACTTTCAATGATTTTCTTTTTTGACTTTGAAACAATTTTCGCAATAAATAAAAAATAAAAATAAAATAAAAAAAGAAAAAACGAAAATAATAAATAATAAATAATAAATAACAAATAAGTAAATAAATAAATGAACAAATAAATAAATTAATAAATAAAGAAACAAATAAATTAATTAATTAACAAAGAAATAAATTCGAGAATAAATTAATTAACAAATAAATATGAAATTAAATTGAAAATTAATTAAACTTCAAAATAATGAAATGGCAATAAAATTTAGTTACAGCTATAATTATTTATTGAATAATACAAAAAATTATAATTTATTCACAAGTGTGAATTTTATTCTAAAAAAATAGATCACTACGAAAGTCAATTTAAAGATTCACTCTAAAGATTTTTCAAATTCCACTAAAAAAAGTACTTATTCGATCACTATATGAGTTGAAAACAAAGTGAGGATTGTACTTTAAGAGATTTTCGACAATTTTTTTTACATACTTTTAATAAAAGAAGTAGAAAAAAATTATAATTGAAAAAAGAAACGATAAGAAACGAAATAAAAAAATTCAATTAATAAAAGGAGTAGAAATAAAATTATAATTGAAAAAAGAAACGGTAAGAAACGAAATAAAAAAATTCAATTAATAAAAGGAGTAGTATTTTAATAAAAGGAGTAGAAATAAAAAAATTATAATTGAAAAAAACGTTAAAGTGAAAATAAAAAAATTCAGTTAATAAATAAATTAATTTCCTTCTAATAAAAGGAGTAGAAATAAAAAAATTATAATTGCAAGAAAGAAACGATAAAGTGCGGAAATAAAAATATTTTAATTAATTTAATAAGAAAAATTTTGATACAAGTTGAAAAAAATAAATTAAATAAATAAATTAAATAAATAAATTTTTATAAGAATAATAGCGAATAAATTATAATAATTATACAATTAATTATAACAATTTATTATTATATTAATTAATAATTATAATAATGATGATAATATGGAAAAAACATAATAAACAGAATTTCGAAGGAAATAAAAAGAAAAATTGTCGAAACTCTACTAAAACGATCCTCACGGGATAAATAATAATTTATCGGTTTGCAGACTTT